TTACAAATACATCCTTACCGTCGTGGATGCTTATACGAAATTTACATGGATTTACCCTGTTAAGACTTTAACCACGAAAGAGACTTTAGAGAAACTAAGACTACAACAACAAACCTTTGGAGCACCTGAAAGAATTTTTACTGATCGAAACGCTGCTTTTACTTCAAGAGACTTCCAGGAGTATTGTAAGAGTGAGAATATAACGCACTATACAATTACCACCGGACAACCCAGAGGAAACGGTCAAGTTGAGCGCATCCATCAGATTATCATAGCCGTGTTGAGCAAACTAAGTGCTGATGACCCGACTAAATGGTATCGCCGTGTGTCCAAAGTACATACATACCAAAGAACATACCAAAGAAGTATAAGAATGACACCATTTGAACTGCTTTTTGGCACTAAAATGAGAGATAAAGATGATGAACTTCAGAAATTAATAGAAGAAGAAAGCATACAGAATTTTAACGAGAAAAGAGAAGAACTTAGAAAGAAGGCCAAAGAATCTATACAGAAAGTACAAGAAGAAAACATAAAAAGCTATAATAAAAAGCGAAGAGCAGCAATACCCTTTAATATTGGAGATTTGGTACCCATAAAAAGACACAGTTCTCACAAGGAAGTAAATTATGTCCTAAGTACTTAGGACCTTATGAAGTTGTTAAATGCAATTCAAACGATCGTTATGTTGTAAAGAAGATTGGTATCAGCGAAGGCCCGATTAATACAACCACCTCAGCTGATCTCATGAAGCCGTGGATTTCGCCGGAAGACGATTCATCTGGGTCAGATGAATGATCAGGACGGCCGTGTGGGATAATTTAGCAATGAGTAGTTTGTTTTTATTGTTTGTTGTAGAATATTGACCTCCTTGGATTATTGAACTGAAAATAAAATTGTAAGATGTCACTTTAAAAAAAATTTCATTGTAATCAAGATAGTAAGATGTAATATGTTTTTGGTGACTTAATGAAAATAAAAGAAGCAGTATAAAAGTGAGTGTTTCGTCTGAAATTCTTGAAATATCCCACATATATATATATATATATATATATATATATATATATATATATATATATATATATATATATATATATATATATAGTTCAAAACATATACACAAATTAACATAACATAATTACTTAATGGAATGAACTAAAAAGGCGTTTACTCAGCAGAAATCTTATAGAAACCACATAGTGGTGACTATAAATACTGATTTTCAGTAAACGCCAAAGACTTAGGTGGAATTGAATAAACTTAACTTATTACACTAATCACAGGTTCCGACACTTATGGAAATACATACTTTATATATATATATATTTAAATAAAGTATATAAATATAATAATATAAAATATATAAATATATTTATATATATATATATATATATATATATATATATATATATATATATATATATATATATATATAAACACACACACACACTTATAACAATTTAAAAATAAAAATAAAACTGTTAGCGTTTAGGAAAAAGGGCACAACAAAAAGCCAACACAACAAAAAAGCGCAACAAAAGGCATGTGCAAGGCACAAGACATACAATTAAATTATTTGACAAGATACAAAAGCAAAATAAATAAATTTACAATTAAGCAAGTATTCGTTAGTTTTATAATATATAGACACAGTATACTTTATAAGAAAAATGTGATACACATCGACACAAAATTCTACTTACTTTGCAAATTTAAAAGGTATTCTTTTACTTTTATTTTAAAAGTGCCAACTGTTTTGCTGCCCTTGATCGGAGGCGGTATATTATTCCAACACTTTGTGGCAGCATACCGAAAGCTACCACGAAACGCAGCCGTTCTATGTCTTGGGTACAATAATCGAACAGTTTCCCGCGAGAGACGTTCCTATATAAATACAAATATGAAAGAAAATAAAAATAATAATAAATATAATCAATGTTTTCTTATATTTACACGAACACTACACTTTGATAAACTACTTTTACGGATTTTATCGCATTTAATTTTAATTATTTTTATTTTTAATTCCCGACGTTTTGATGGTTTCCAACACCCATGGTCACGGAGGACTGAGGTGCCTGACGTCCAACGTTAAACCAGGCATACCTTCAGCTTTTTTTATTATTGTTTATGGTCCGATCTATGCAAAAAGAACAAATATTCCTAGATATTGAATCTAGACGTTAATTCAATAATAACTTCATGTGCCAAACCACCGGAGTTGTATGGGTTACCAAAAATACACAAACCGAACGATCCATTAAGTCCAATAGTGAGTCAGATTGATTCGCCAACTTACAGATTGGCTAAAACATTATCACCACTCAGAGGACACACAAGAGCACACACTTAGGATTCATACAATTTTGTCAGTGTCACCTAAGTCTTACTGACAATGAAACCATGGTCAGTTTTGATGTTCAGTCTCTTTTTACATGCCTACCTCTTGAAGACTGCATCTCAATCATAACTAGGAAACTAGAGGAAAATAACATGCCAGCAGAGTATGCAGTATTACTCAGACATTGCCTTACATCTGGCTATCTATTGTGGAAGGAAGAGTTTTACAAGCTAAGTGGATAGTGTTGCGATGGGCTCACCTGTATCTCCCATTGTCGCCGATATATTCATGGAAGACTTTGAGGAGAAAGCCCTCCTTACTGCACTTGTTACACCAAGGATCTACAAGCGGTATGTAGACGATATTTTAACAATTTTACCATCAGACAAAGTAACTACATTATTAAAACATCTTAATTCCATAAACTCTAAAATTCAATTTACTATGGAGTTAGAGGCAAATAATTCCTTACCTTTTCTAGATGTGTTAGTCACACGAAATCCTAACAACAACATAAGTCACACTGTGTATAGAAAAAAGATCCATACAAACCGATATTTAAACGGTGAATCTCACCACCATCCTCCACAGTTAGCTACCGTGGACAAATCTTTGTTACAGAGAGCACGAGGGATCTGTGACAGCAAACACCTGGCCGCCGAGCTTCAGCAAGTCAAGCAAGTTCTGAACGACAACAAGCTTCGGGTCCTGCGCCTACGCCACAGTGACCGAGTGAAGCCGGCCACAGTCGAGCGTGTGTCTGCTGTACTACCATATGTCGGAGGTGTCACAGACAATATTGGCTACATCTAGAAGCGAGCTTCTATTAGAACATTCTTCAAGCAGCCGAAGAAGATTAGTAAGTTCCTACCATCCGTCAAGTGTCGTATTCCTCTAAAAGATGCAAGCGTGTACAAGCTTGATTGTGAATGTGGTCTTTCTTAAATAGGACAGACAAAAAGATCAATTAGAACCCGCGTAAAAGAACAAATAGCCGATGTGAGGCATCAAAGTTCCGGGAAGTCTGCAGTTTGTGATCATATCCTAGACGGCCCCAACCATTACATCAGATAGATAGAAAGAACACAGATTCCTACCAAGGATGATACGCGAGTCTATTGAAATTAAAAAACATCCTAATTTCCACTTGCTTATAATCAATAAAATTAAAACTAAACCTAAGCATACCACTGCAAGACCTCAAGACATATTCAGTTCATTTTGCATAGATCGGACCATAAACAATAAGTAAAATAGTTGAAGGTACGCCGGGCTTAACAATGACATAGGGACGTCAGTCACCTCAGTCCCTGTGACCATGGGTGCTGGAAAGCACCCGAAACGTCGGGAATTAAAAATTAAATAATTTAAATTTAACGCGATGAAATCTGTAAAAGTAGTTTTAATCAATAATTTTTATGTTTGTGTGCGCCTAAAGTTCGTACCAAAATAAATTAATAAAAATCTGTGATTATAAATTCTGCCGTCATACGAGAGAAGGGCACATCTATCAATTTGGTCAAACTGAGATAATTGGGATTAAAGTTTTTACCATATTCTGCTTCGTAGTGTGGAAACCTATCGCTTAAAAGAAAAAAAATACTGATGATATATGCGTGAAGGTTAGTACTATTACATTTTTTATTCTTTAATTTTTATATATAATTAATTATTAAATAAATTCAAAAAAATCCTTTCAACTTAAAAAAATATTTTAAAAATACCACTTACTACAAAGAAAAGGCATAGTTAACCATATGTGACCTTTCTTTTTAATATTTCAAGCAAATTGGTCATTGAGTCTAAAAGAAAGGGCACATTTGTCTAATTGCGCCTTTTTTGTGTAAATTGACTTAATGTTTTCTACAAAAAAAAAAAACATGTGAAGAAAGTTTAATAAACTATTAAACATATTTATAATATTATCATGCCATTTCTGGTTAGCTTATCCAAATAACTGAAACAAAACTTAACAAATCTTCTTCTAGGACACCAACATTTAAACAAAAAAAAAAAACGTTCTTAACATTCAATAGTTATTTATAAATTATTAGGGATAAGCATCTACATACAATTTTGGTTAACAAATAGAACTTATGAATTAGAAACAAAAAGTGCTAATACTTAAATTCAATTACACTCTTTGTTTAGTTAGATACGGTTAGATAAGGAAAGTAAAAATTAATTACTTTTATTCTTTTTACTAATAGGTTGGACCCTAACTTAAAAATCTATAAAAAATAGTTACTCTCAATCACAATATGAAAAATAAATCAAAATATTCTTATTTCTTAATAGAGATAGTAATTAGGAGCATAAATTTTAGTTTTGAACTTTTATTTAATTATAGAAAAAACAATAAATAGTTAGAATAAGCTCTAATAGAGTAGCTTATACTCTATTAGAGCTTATTCTAATTATTTATTGTACATTTACAGGAAATAGCTTACACCCGTAATTATTAAAGGCACTCTAGTTTAATATTTTTAAAAATACTATTATTATTATTATAAAAATATAAATGTAACTGTAACAAACATAACATGGCACTTGGTTGAATTATCACAATGCAATATATAGGTAATAACTATAAAAAGTTATAAAGAAAAGTAAATAATCAGTTTTGCTTCAAATATTAATTTAAAAATTAACTTTTATTTCAGTCTTCATAAATTTCTGTGAGATCAGCTGAACTGTCGTTAACGGGTAGGGTTTCCCAAAAACCTCTTCTGTTGTCAGGCATGAGTGGCCCAAGCTTGGAAAGTATAGCTGATTTTCTCTCAAATGTTATACCTCGTGGAGAAAGCTTCTGCTTAGGCAATGGAATGCCAATTTTAAGATTTTTAATTCTCAAGAAATCCCATTCTATTTGCTTTTCAGTGTCATGGCTGTTCTTGTAGAACATCGAATTGCTGCCACGCCGAAAAGTGATGTCAGATATGTTTATAAGCTCGCGGCACAGAATGTTGTAATTTATACGACGAAGAGCAGTCTTCTAAATCGTGAAAATCCTGGACTGTCATTTTTTTCACCACAGTATTTGAACCAGTATCAGCGACAGCTTTGCAAAAATCTTCAAAGTCATACACTCGCTTGTTCTTCTTAATTGATTGCTCCACTCTATGGTGAAATTCATCGGCAGCCATAAAAGTATGACTAACTTCCAGATAACGCAGCACAACAGTTTCAATATTTACACCCTTGGAATTGACTAAATATACTAAGTAGGAAAAAAGGCACCAATTTTTGTTTTGGACCGCGCAGTTATCCAGCCACAAAATCACATTTTTGCAGTCCCGGTTTTCGAAGAAAAATGCTTGAAAGCAGCTAATTATGTCTTCCTTTTTTCTCCCTGCAATAGTCGTGCCGTAAGACTCCCAGTGTTTTGCCAACTCCATGTAACCTTTTGTCACCTACAGGAACAAAATTCTGATTGAAAACGATAAGCCTTGGACAAAACATTACCGTTTTAAATTCTTCCATGCGAGGTAACATAATTACCTTTTCTAAATCAACTGCAAATATTATGGTGTCAGTACTTTTTTGCTTCGTTTGACGTTCAACATCATCTTCATATTTTTTTCTGGCTGAAATGTTCCTAGTGTGATGACCTTCATATTCTTGGCATTTTTCGCAATTCCTGTGTCTTATTGCTGCGTTAGGGTTGTGAATAGAAAATTTTTCGCACAATTCACATTCCTCGTGTCCAAGCTTTGTGAAGGATATTTTAAGCTCATTTACGACATTCCTATAAAATCCATAGGAAACATTTATTTCAGGCTCTTTCTCACTGTAATTGCCGTACATCATGCGGATATTGATATCCGAGGGCAAATATTTCCGGTTTGGTGCATGAACTCTCCTGTAATGCGACACAACTGGACGAAAAGACATAATATGTTCTTTTACCTTTGTACTGTCTATTTGTGATGGATTCGTGTTATGACCTCGGCCGTCAGCAATAGGCTCTGCGTATTGTGTTTTATAGTATGTGTCAATAATGTTCCTCACAGCCTAACAGTTACTTTTCTTGTAACCCAAAGTTGTGAGAGAAAACATTTTACATACCGTAACTTCTCACCGTTTTCATCACATAAGAAATACGAAACAGTCTTAGTTCGATCATAGTGTTTACTATGCTCATCATAATGACTTTTTTCTTTGGTCTTGCACGCTTTTGCTGGATAGTATTAGCTAAAAAAATGTTTTTGTTCCGGCCAAGACATTTTCAGAAATTACGATTAATAATTTTGCGGTAATCCTCTGAGAATTTCGTTGAACATTTTTTTTACAAATGTTCTCTTGGCATCCGGGTTTCACAAAATATTTGGTATATATTTTTTCTTCTCTTTTAATTTTCTTTCGTTCTTTAAGACTAACATCATATCTTTTGCGCTTTCTTACTGTCCCTTTTTTTGTAAGTTCATCTTTTGTAGATTCATCTGAAGATTCTGGAATCGTTTTTTCCAAACACGGTTGAGAACATGGAATGACGTCTGATTCGGAGCCAGAATCATCCAATAAAATATTGACTTCACGTCGTTCATAGTTTTTATTATGACCCCTCATATTTAAGTTTTTAACCACTGATTGTTTTAAGCACTGAGCGGAAATAATGTACGTTTTGTAGTTTTTTGGTGGCTCATAATCTTTATCGGCTACTGAATCGTCTGAATCAAAATCTGATTCTGATACTAGAATTTGTGGCGACCAGTTTATTTGTAGACCACTAGTGGACGGAATCTGTTCGTTAATATCAGATCTAAGCATTAGATTTTGTAAAGCGGCGCTTACTAATCTTTTATTTTTGGGAAAAACAAGTGAAATGAATGATAATATATGTTTATATTCCTACTTAATTCATTAAATATTATGTTATGTCACATAGGTGTTAAGCTAAGGCACGGTAACATTATCTAATACCAATTCCAACTTCATACAAACGGACGAAGTGCGGGCTATGCCTATGCACCTCGACCTCCGGGTGTAGACATAGTTAGATGATAATAATATTACCGTGGCTTTGTTTGACACATCTGTCTAGAAACAGACAGGTAACTGTTGAGACTACCTAGGTATACGACCTAACCTACTAAGTTATGTACCTACCTACTTGAATTAGAAACAACATGTAAACATGGATAAAACGTAAATAAACTTACCTAGGGTGGGCAGGCTGCTGACAAGCGTGGAGTCTTCGACGTCGCAGGCACAACTGGCGCGTTTCAATCAAACCCCGCCCTCCTTTCCTCACCCCTAATCGTAAATAATTTAAAGAAAAGGCATAACTGGTTATTTATGCCTTTTATACGTAAATTAATTGAGACATACATGGATCATTAATTAAGTGGACAAGGTACATCTAGCATTTAAGCCTTTTCTTTACGTTATGTCGTAGGTGTGCCCTTTCAAAGTAGTTTTTAGAAAAATCTGTAAGAAGTAATAGTCACATCTACGTATTTGTGCCTTTTCAATATAATGGTAAATAAATGTGCCTTTTCATTCTATAAAATATGAATATTAGTTTCATTTATGCCTTTTGTGCCTACAGTATCTCCGAATTTATTGAAGATAAAATTCTACAAAAAATTGAGCAGATGTGCCTTTTTTTCTGATTCTAAATATGTATATAACTCAATTTTAAAAAAAAAGTAGTTGTGGCCTTTTTTCTTACGACGGCAGAATTACTAATAAGTAATAATATCTTACCTTGGTCAAGTATGTATCAAATTTGGTTTTTGGGATATTTTGTATTTCTACAGCAATCGATGTTTTTTATCACGATCCACTGTAAACAAACGATACAGTAATCTCACTCACGACGGCCGCGACGAAAGAGCTCGGAGTGAGTCAGACTCAACTGAAAGTGTAATTAGAAAAATAAATTATTACAGGTCTACCGAAATATATTAGTTATAACTGACTTCCTACGTGATAGATGAAGAGATTAAAAAGAAAATTGAGTAGAACAATTGATATTTTCAAAGGTTATTGTGTTTACCCCTCCATGAGGACTTGATAAATCTAGAGCATAAGCCACTAAAACCACTTTTTAAATATAAAAATACAATCAATTTAAAAAAAATTATAAGTTCATTATTCATTTACTTTTCTGACAATGGGTGCGTTTGACAGAAAAAAGCGCTAGCAAGCGCTTATAAGCACTGAAATAGTTTTCGGCCAGGACACGATTGCTACTTCAGTAGCGCTGACACAATCCGCCATTTTGCTTATTTAATTTGTTTGTTTTGAAGTAGAGTTTATAAGTTGTTTTGTGCAATATTAGTTCTAAGTAATATAATGACATGAATAAACATATACATGTTATTAAAAATTCATGATTGGTAAGTTTTTAACATGAATACTTTACAAACATATATTTAAATTTGGTTAGGTTCCCTGGTTAATACTGTTACGAGCTTGAGGTTCGTGACAATAAAAAATTGCTGATTTAATTACCAAGATTTACACTTTAATTTACTTTACACTAATTAAAACTTAAAACACTAATAATTAATCACACTGATTCACTTTATTCCGCTCCGAAGCTTCGCTTGTCTCGCCAACTTCAATACTTCCTGATCGCATCTTGCAGCGCCTATTTATATAAATTAGCAGCGAAATATCCAGAATATACAAGTAAACACGCGCAAGGTACCGAGAGTTTGTGTTTCAACTTCAAGAAGTTTAGTTCTTCGGTTCGAGACTAGATGGCGCTACTGCCGTCGACTTGAGCGCGTAACACTGCCTTCTCCTAAGACATGCTCGTCCCAATCATTATCGGCCCCATAATAATAAATGTCTCGCTAAATTCAATACTTCCCCGATCGCGTCTTGCAGCGCCTATAAATACAAATTAGCACCGAAACATCCAGAATATTCATGTAAACACGCGCAAGGACATTTTTTCAGACATTTGCTGGCCCAATTGTCTGACGTGCTCATAAATATCATTCATTTTGTTCCGCAAGTCATTTGCATAATCGGTTATACTGCGTGGGGTATCAGGTGGTATCCCGGTGATCAGGTCTGCAAGCAGCCGTAATTCTCTTCCAAAGTTTGCGAAAGCTGGTGTCGCTGCTGTACTTTCGTGAACAGCGCTTCGATATGACAACAAAAACGGTTATATGTGCTTGTCCCAATCTCATTGCCGATTGACTACAACTTTTGCTAGGTACCTCTCCAATGTCTGATTAAATCGTTCTACCATTCCATCAGATTGCGGGTGATAAGAAGTCATTCTTGTTTTAAGAGTACCCATAACTCGGCAAGTTTCCTGGCATATTTGAGACTCAAAATTCCTTCCTTGATCGCTGTGAATCTCTAAAGGTACTCCAAAACGACAGAAGACTTCATGATCTAGCGTATCAACTGTTGAAGCTTCTTGATTTGGAATAGCGAAGACTTCTGGCCACTTAGTGAAGTAATCCATCACAACCATGAAATACTTGTTACCGCTTTAACTCTCCGGAAACGGCCCCGCCACGTGAATGGCTATTCTCTCCAATGGTGCACCAACATTGTACAACTTCAATGCACCTTTACTACGAGTCTGAGGTCCCTTTACAGCCGCACAGCTTGTATATTTGCGACACCAGTCCTCGACATCGTTTCGACAGTGGACCCAGTAAAACCGTTCTTGGATCTTCAGTAGAGTTCGTTTAACTCCCAGATGGCCTCCTGAACAATCATTTTGCTACAGCTGTAGAACATCCGGTACTTTAGCTTTAGGGACAACCATTTGCAAATGACAGCTGTCTCCCCGAACATTTTCCCATTTACGGCACAGAACTCCATCCTGAAGCAGCAAGCTGTCCCATTGGGCCTAATAGCTTTTAGTGGTCGAACTCATCGCTGAGACGTCGCTTCATTTGGACTTGGGAGCACTGGCCTTCATCCATTCCAGAATCGGCTTGATGTCCGGATATTCCTGCTGTGCGTGTTGTAAGCTGTCCTTCCACTCGTTGCTGAGGTGTTCTGTCCTGAGCATCCTCACGGATACCACTTCCTATCTCTCCTGCCTAGTACAATGTTTGCAATCTTCAGAACAAGGTCTTCTTGACAATGCATCTGCGTTGCCATGAGATTTCCCGCTACGATGTTCGATCTCAAAGTCGTATTCCTGCAGTAGTTCAATCCACCTCGCAACTTGCCCCTCTGGATTTTTAAACTGCAATAACCATTTTAGTGCAGCATGGTCAGTTCTTAAGTGAAATTTTCGCCCCAGAAGATATTTGCTAAAATACTGCAACGACTTTACCACAGCTAGCAATTCGCGTCTTGTGATACAATAGTTCCTTTCCGGTTTTGTCAACGACTTGCTGAAATACGCTATCACGACCTCTTAGACACCATTCCGTTGAGACAACACACCGCCAAGTCTATCACTTGCGTCTGTGTCAACTATAAATTCTTTGCTTGCATCAGGGTATCCCAAAATAGGTGTTTTGCACAGACGGTCCTTGAGCTCCTGGAATGCGATATTGCAACTTTCATCCCAGCAGAAATGTCGCTTCTCCTCGGTTAGCTTGTGCAGAGGTTTGGTTATATCTGCAAAGTTCTTCACAAATCGCCGGTAATAGGAGCACAAACCCAAAAATGCTCTAACCTGCGTCTTGTCTTTTGGAACCGGCCAATCCTTGACAGCGGCGATTTTCTCTGGATCTGTGCGGATACCTTCTTCCGATACTACAAACCCCAAAAAGTTAACTTGCCGTTGGAATAGTGAACATTTCTTCGGGCTCAACTTGAGGTTGGCACTCTGAATCTTCACGAGCACGCGTTCCAGGTTTTGAAGGTGTTCCTCAAACGTACGGCCTACGATGATGATGTCATCCAAGTAGACCAGACAGGCATCGCCAATTAGCCCGGTAAGTACAAGTTCCATCAGCCTT